ATCAGTACGCCTACACTGCTGCTCGCAGTGGACCAGATGCATCTGAAGCTATCGGCTTTACATTACACACAGAAATGAAAACCTGTCACAAAATGTTTGGCCAGACATCCAAATTCATTAGATGTTTGTACAAACATCACTCAGATGAATGAATCCTCACGTGGGAGCTACTTTCTGTGTGGGTTGGTGTCTTTTTATATCTGCTGTTTTTATTTATTTGTGTATTTTTAGTTTTTTGATGGTTGCCTCTGTTGAATATCAGCTTAAAGTCTCAGACTCAGTGAAATGAATGCATGTTTGATGTGATAAAAGATATCAGACAACTGAAGTAAATGCAGCTTCATTCACTTTGTCTTCACTGTGGTGTGTGTTTGTGTGTGTTTGTGTGTGTTTTGGGTGATTTGAGTGCTTTTCACTCGTCAAGGTAATCCTCTGAGTTTCCGATTATCGTCATGGCAGCCGAATGATTTCAGTGTCGTTGCCGTGGGGATTTTTGATAACAGGGCCGTGACCTTGTGGAGATGATGAGTTTGGATGTGTATTTGGTCCTTTATTAATTGGTGTGACAGCTCTGTACATACCTTGGAGTGGAATGCGTCTTCCCTGTGAGGGCTGTTACGTCGGGTTCAGACTGCATGATATCAGCCTGATTATAGCCTGGCTCTGACATCGTAGGGCACGTGTTGTACAGCTTTAATCTGGCCTGAACATCGCTTTAAGTTCTTAATAAACTTTGGCATGTGCAGTTGCAGCTGTGGTTCGTGTAGTGACGGGCACAAGCTGCCTAACACAGAATTCAATTAAAAGGAAAGATGCTGTGCGCACATAGTCTCAGCTGAGAAGACTGAGTACCTCACATCTTTATCGAGTGTAGATTTTATCTTGATTTTGGTGTTTGAATCCACCCAGCAGTAAGAGTATGTAGTCACAGAGGAAAGAGAGGCTTTCAATAAGTAGCCTACTTTGGAAAGTTCAAGAGCTAAAATAGGCCAAACATGATGGTGCTGTACAGGTCTGTTTCATTTTTAGGTGCAGAAGAAATGCACAGTGAAACCATAGCACTGGTGCTACTCTCTGGCTCTGTCAGTGTCTGGCTCCATAGTGTAGTGGTTTACAATCCAGATCCCTTTGGGGCCATTCTGTGTAAAAATCTGCCCAGTCAAACACAAGGAGATGCATGCTGCAGTAGGTGACCCCTCATGGAAGACGGGGCAGCTGGAAGAAGCTTTTAGTCAGTGACTATATTTTGCTCACAAAACCAGTTTGTGAAATTCCCCGTGTGCTCTGGCTTCTTCCCACGGTTACGTGCTGATTCCAAACTGACCTGTGAAAGCTTTCTAGGGTGTAAGAGTTCTGAAACTGAGATCGTGACCGCACTACAAAGGTCCTCTTTGTGGTATTACTGTAGCTTGTAATGCCTGGTAAAGGCCTGCTGGTCTGTTGGAAGCTGTGAAGTCAGCGTGTCAAACCAAAACTGTGCCTAAAAGTCGAGTTTTGAACCAAACTGGGTATTTTTACTCCTGGTACACGCTGGCTCTCACCCAGTGTTTGCCACGATAAGCTTCAATCTCCAGTGACTTGAGATATACAAGTAGTGCTGCTTCTTATTTGTTATTAAGGAAAACCATCAGGCCTCTAAAAGAAGGTTTTGTCCTTGAGTCTCTCAGTCTGCAGCCACACTGTCAGATGAGGCTATTAGAGTTCACGTTATGGTTAAGTGTTAATGTTATACATGGTTTGAAATGTGAAACTGTGTAGTCGATGTTTTTGACCTGATTCTAAAAAACACAAGTTGAAACACGTCTCATCATCATAATCTACTTTAAAGCTGATGTTTTCACATAGAGCTTGTTGTCAGTGGAAATTGGATATATTTATATAGCTATGATGTGAGCCACAAAGAGAATTTAAACAATGAAAAAGCTGTTTGATGTGAGATGAAACAACTGTCTTGCTCTGTTTCTGTCTCAGAGGAGCTTCCTGGGTTTTGCCTCGTTCTCTATCAGAGATCTGCTCAGGGTCAAGGAGCCTCACGTCTCTCTTAGCCTCAGGTAAACACACTTAAATCTTCCCCTTTTAACCATATTCATCACATCTTCTCTTAAAATAAAGTTTATAATTACTCTGTGTCCCCCTTATCCAGTTTTACTAACCTTTCGTCACTATTCTGCATGGTTTAACTCATCAACAACTTTCCCCGCCCACCAGAGAAATCACCAGAAATCCACCCTGCAGGCATCCGAAGTTCATTTTAAGTTTACCTGCTCTGCACACACTCTTTTCCTCACCATGCATGCTCTCTCCCAGCTTTACCCCATTTCCTATCATAGAAATGTTTTGAAGTCAACGAATTGCACGTCATAAAAAGCTTCCAGGATTGTCCGTTGCTTAGATACTGTAGACCACAAGAGGAAGTGAGGAGAGAGCGTGGGGCTCCACCTCTGTAGAAAGTAGAAAAAGGCAGCTCCTTCCTGTTTTGTCACCACAGCATCTTTAGAGAGACAGACGAGCAGCCGTAAAGACTAGATTAGATGAAAAAGCAAATTCCGACAGATCGAAGGAGGACAGGAGAATGAAGACGAGGAGAGAGAGGCATAGATCCAGAGCGCGGTCCAGGCATGAGCAGGCGGAGTGCAGTAGGTGTGTCTGTGCTGGCATGTTGTATCCAGGTGTGCCTCACTACTAACGCATACCTCATGCAGGCTGGCAGAACTGCAAATTTTTGTGACTTCATAAAAAAGCATTTCAAATAAACTTACAAAAGCAAGGCATCTTTATCCAGAAATATTTGTTACCACCTTAATGGAATTTCTTAGCTAGTCTTTCAGACGTGTGTTTGTTGGTTCTTCTATCATTTAGAGCTGCTATTTTGTCTTTAGTTAACTTTTCCTGGTGCTTATTGTGTAATTGGTAGCCATTACTTCATATTTATGTTGGTTCCTGGTTACCTTAATGGTGATTTGTTTCTTAGTACCTTTTTTTTTTGTCTTTCTGTTGTTAATATTTAGCTTTATTTTTAGGGTTATCAGGTTGGTCCCTAGTCCTGTGTAGCTGAAGCTTAAGGAAAAATGTATATTGGCAAGCGGTTGCTGGTGAATACGGCTTATCTAGAAAAGAATAGTCCGTCATTGTCTTTGCACATGTACCACGAAATTGTCTAATTGAAACTGGTCACAAAGAGCTTGCAATGACCTACTTGTCGTTGCTTTGGTTGTTCTAGTTTGCATTGAAGATGGCAACTTGTTTGCAAACACTCTCAAACACTCAGCTTGAAAAACTGTGATGCAACCCTGCAAAAAGCTGATCCTGGTGCAGCACCGTGCGCCTTACTGCGACAAGTGTCATGTGAATGACCTCAACCAGTAAGGGAATACACATTTTCCCCCCTCATGTTGCTTGTTGCCAGATGTTATCCAGTCAGTCTCTGGGTTGATTCAATGCTTAAAACTCTTTAAATAAGAATTTTCTGAAGCATCAGTGGGAAAAAACAACAGGAAAATTAACGCCTGGAGGCCATAAAAGTGTGCAGCATCTATTTCTACTCCAGTTCTCTTGCTCTTTAGCATTGCCTCGTTGTTCTGTTTAGCTTGTAATTGTTTCTAGTGAGCTTCAGTTCTCTAGTTAATAATTAGTCTTTGCCTCCATCTGTATTTTCATTTATTGTTATTTATTGTTTCTGTTTTTACCATCTAGTCAGTTATTTTGTTTAAGTAACTTTTCATTTCCAGCTAATTGTTACTTTATCGTCTTAAACATGTTCCGTCCTGAACTTTTCTTATGTTTCTAGTATGTTTGTTTTTTGCACTAGCTTCTTTTTGTTAGTTAGTTTGTTTATGGTTAGTGTTGGATTGTTGGTTCTCTGGTTTCTGACCACCTTAAGTTGTCTAGTAATCTTGTTGTGAGTAACTTTTGTCTTCTCTGTAGTTGCTTCGTCTTTCTCGTTAGCTGATTGTGGCTCAGGTTAGCCTTGTATACCTAACTTTCTATTTCTTTCTTCCCGTTTGTTTCGTTGGTGAATCAGGTAGCAGGTGATTGAAGCTTTGTCTTGCTAGTCGTTGTATTTTTAGTTAGCTTTTCATTCAGTCTCTCT